CCCTTTTACCTATAATTCGACAGATATAAGGGCATTTTTTGAGAGGGGCATGTTGATGCGTTCTATGTCATCAGTAAATTGATCCGGAGGCCACGTTTTGAATGCATCTATCTCCGTCGTGAATTCCAAACTTGGCATGCCCGCAGATAATTTAGACTTGGCCTTAACCTTTGTCTTGAACATCGAATGTAACATTGCATGGTTAATGAAAACAGGGGAAAATTGTGGTTTGTCTTGGAAACAAGCCCAAAACATTCCCCAATATTCGGTCCCTGAAGCAAACGGTGATGTCAGTCATGGTTGGAATCTAAATTTCACAACATCAATTGTCAAGTCCGCATGAGAAACTTGTTTTATTAAGGCATGTATTGTCTCTGAGGTGAATTTCATATCATCGTCTTCACCAATTATTTTTCGCTAATAAAACCCGAATAACTTTGTTTTCGCTCATAAAATACTGTGTAATCTTTGGCTTTTACCGCGCTACCAAGCTATCAATACTTTGACATGAATCATGAATTGCACAGTATCTAATCACATATACATATATATGTATGTATGTATATAACCTTTTGCATTGACCTTTTGCATTCATTTTCCGCACGCAAACATGGTTTAAACAATAATCGGAATAATCTTTTGGGAGTTCAAAAACCAACTACAAACATAAGGAATCACGGCTTCTATTTCCCGAATATCATGCGTAAAACACCAAACAGCAGATTCATGGGTTCAGTTTGTCACCTATAAAACGGATTAAAACTTTTCAGCCATTATTCGAAGGATATTTATTTCCATAGTAATTTGGTCGAAAACTCCAGTTTTGTGAGACTAAGTTGTCATTACGAATTTCAAAACCACTTATATTTGAAGAAACCAGATAGAATATTCGTCAACTGAAGATTTTTCAATGAAAATGAACTGTTCTGTTTTAACAAAACGCTTTATTCACAGGCAGTAGCATGAAACAGTGCGCTTCGTTGTGCAAAATGTTTTATACTAGCACAAGTTCAACAGAATTGATGAACTTTACCGCATTTCAAATCTTCACTTGTGTGGTAACAGAGTTAACGTTCTTTTTTGTAACGATGCGAAGTTTATGACAACCCATGGAAACCCATCGATACCTCTAGCAGGTAAAAAACAAATCCCGTACACCGCAAATTGTGCGTAGAAATAAATTCATTTTTGCCGACAGATTATACTGTCCATCGGTTTTTACCAGTTTGAGTAAATAGTTATTCCAGTGGTGTCCTTTGGGGTGGGTTCTTGTTTCATCTGACGACTCAGGTGAAATAGAAAAGTGGAATCAATAATTGTACCAAATTATTCTCAATACTTTTGTCGTGCTGAAACCTTAGCTTCCTTCCGATTTGACCCATAATATGAGGAAAGGGAAAATAAAATGTGATTTACAACAAAAATGTTGTCGATCAGTGAACCCATCAAAAACCCACAAGTGAACAAGTGACAATTTTCCTCTTTCCTTCCTTTCATTTTCAGTTCTAACCAACCACTGTATTTCATATCTCCATGTGTAATATCCACGACTGTGTGTGTAGTACAACAAATTCTGAGGAGGGTATTTAATCCGAAGGAAAAGCCTGCTAACCACATCTATACTATTCCTTTTAAATCCAATAACGTTTGCTGAAATCAAATTATTACCATCGGTTTGTTTGCAAACTTATCTCGACAAAATATTTCAGCTTAGACAGGCCCATCAGTAAACAAACCCACAGACGGAAACGTTGCCGTCCACTTAGTCTGAAGAGTCATCTAACGAACATCGTTCTTCAGCACCCACTCCAACTCTACCCTCCTCATTTTCTATACACATAACACATCACGTCTGACCACGATTTTGATCAACCAGAGTCCCTTGACTGACCTCGTCCCGTTTCAACTCCACTTCTTATCGAAAGAAGAAAATGCCATCCAATCATCCTGAGTCCCAAGGGTCTCCGCCGATTATCGATTCGATCGAAAACAGAAATAACCTAAACAGCTGTAGAGTCACACGAACACACCGGTATGATTGGTATTCGATGAATACTAATCGATTTGCTTCAGCTCGTCAAGTGTTCATCAAAAGAGAACAATGGATTTTCATTAGTGGGACAAATGGGTCAACGGAACTCAAAAATTAGGACTATTGAATGAACACAGTCATCCAACATTCGATGTCACATACTCCCAGAAGTTGAATATTTCTCCACCTGAGTGAAATGAGGCCACCAAAAGTGATGTGCTCTCCAAAATGCGTCAACAAAATAATATGTTAATTGGCACAATCTGGATCAATTTTCTGTGAAAACCTGACTGAATCTATATCTGGTACCTTAAGATTGAACCAAAACCGATTAAAACACGAGGCGCCTCGTAGAGTTTCCGGGTCCTTATATGACAGTAGTATAGTAATAATGCTTTTTTATTCCCACGCTATTCGTTCGCGTTTCGTGCGACCTATCTAATGAACTATCGGTAAGAAGCTTATCACAAATAGATTTGGGGCATAAATTCATTTTAAAACGTTCACATTTTATGCACTTCTCTGCAAACGCTTTTACATACAATCACAAAACATCCTGTGCTCAAGTCTTATCCCGCAAATACATTTGGTTTGTGAACAAAGTAGAACTCTCATCTGTCAGAAATGACTTTTTCTCGGAAATATACCTGAAAGGTTGAAAATAATCTCCTAACATGCCACCCAATTGATAAAACGACTACATGATGATCAATTGTAGTAGCTTCAAGCTGAAAAACAACGGGTAAGCGCACTTGGAATAAGGTTTTCGGTCACTTTTATTTCGAATTCCTGTTTCTTCGTGAAGACACTATGGAATCCAACTTGTGGATACTACATAATCATTTCCTTTTGTATGGGTTTGCCTCAGCCTTTTTCAGTTGTCTTTAAATTGAGAAAGTGATCCTATCAGTAAGCGATATGCAAGTTTTGATGCAACAACCACATTCTCACATTTGGTGGGTTTACTTTGCTAGAAATGCATTAACCTTCCAAAATTAAATAATTAATGGATCGACTGAACGTTTAAAACTAGGATTCAGCTCTCGGCTTTGCTTCGAGAACAGTCAGTCGTGGTTTCTTTCCGAGTTCCCGTTGGTGTTATTCTTACCCGTTGTAATATAAGAATCGTTTTATTTTTGAGATTCTTTTTACCTTCTTAATTTTTATCATTTTTTCTCACGAAGTTTTATTTCTAGTCGCACCACACAGAAGTCAGGTGCTCATGTGTTGATTCACTCAATAGCTGGTATATAGAAAAAGCTGATCCGGCACACTAGACGGCGTGAGCTGAGGCTGTCGAAAAACCGGCAAGAAATCCCAAAGCAGGTCAAACGGATCGTTTGGCAGTAATAAAGATGGGGTTGGGTTGGCGGTGAGGATGAGTGTTTCGGTGGTAAACTGCGACTGCAATGGGAACTATTCCATAGCTCTTATATAAACTAGTTACTGGATGAGATAAAACTGGGGCTAGCAATTTGCAACAATTTGAACATAATGTTGACACAGTGAGTTACGCATAAATATTTTCCACTGCGAACCAACAACAACTCAATGTCCGGATCTGCACAATATGCAGTTTCCCAACAACCCCTCTCAAAACTATATAACTCACCTGTAGTCCATCAAATCCCACTCATGGGAGCCACCTACGCTTGTACAGCCATCGCTATACCAGTTGAGCTCAGAGACCACGCCACCAAACCATTATCTGCGAAAACAGCATAATTACAGCAAATGAATCAAAAGGTTATGAACATGCTAATCACTGAATTGCCGATGAACACATGTTCACGGCCACTGACCAATCTTCCAATCCAATTTACCGCATTCACTTCATACAATGGCATAATTATTCGCAAACACACTGTCCTTCCAGAGTAGCAGATAGCAAACTGGAACAGTTAAACATTGTGGAGGAAAGTGAAAATTCAACAATTCATATCACCGATTCGCAATTAGGGAAGCTGCATTCACCTTTACAGTATGATTTTTGATATGGTGTTTAACAGTAAACGAGCACAATGATTTCCGATAAATGATTTGCCTTGTGTGCAAGAATGTATCTCCGTAATCCTCCATCCATACTAAAAGCAGTGTGCACCCGATGTAGGAGCACACTTCATTCCAAAGTTCTGAATGAATCTGGGCAATTAAGTGAACAAACAGGTCAATGGTTATTACGAATTGCACGTCCGGTAATGTGCTTTTTACACAATTTTCCTGTTGTAGTAGGGATATATTGATATTGATGTTTTGCACAGGACCGTGAATCCCTTAAAAAAGAGTCACTGGTCACTATGTGTTATTTGTGATTGCGTGATCGATCTAGTTAGAAATATATAATAGAACTCACAACAAACGATAGATTCATCCATAGACGATGAGTATTGAACTTTATAGGAAGACCAAATCTTAAGAGAGAAGTAGCATACTTTGTCCCCCTTCTGAACTGTTAGGCCAAATAAGCTGACTGATCATCTATGAAGATGATATCTGAACAACCTGGAATCAGCAAGTCTGGCCAAGCCTAAGTGTGACTTGGTTTGGCCAATGGTAACGTGCACACCCTGAATGCGACGAGCACGGATAGAAAAGCCCTAACATGAAGGTGGATGGATATACACTGCTTGACAAGAGTGAAACTCAGTTTTATGAAACGAAAATGGAAATGCAGTTTGGATTGTGATCGGTCACACTTAAGATAAAGTGAGTGCCACGTCTCCTTTGTTGTCTGACATCAGCCCACTGCTCAACCAGGTTTCAGATCACCCTATTATTTGGGGTTATGGATGAGCAACTAGATTACCATAAAGTGCAGCCATTTCGCGTCTGTTGTTTATCAGTTTTGTTCATTTGTTTTCTTTGGTCAAAAATATCATTAAGATTATCGGTTTCAAATCGGTGAAAAATCTCTTTGTTCTCGACTGTTTACCGATGACAGGTTTTATCTTGCAGTTTGTTTAGATCAATGGTTCAGTTGGCATTTTACGAGCATCGTGGACGTTCGTGCAAGCAATTGTTGAAGGAGAACGATGGGTTGATCTCGATTGAACTGCATGCCACAGACAGCTGGCCTTTCCCCACTAGTGAGACACGTTGGATATTGCAGTTCTACAGTTTCTGCACTCGTTGGTGTCGCGTCACACAAGTAAGTCAGAGAGTCGGGAAAACAGTTGATATCCTAATCAGACAAATGTGTCTTTTTTTGAACTGCTGATATGCTGAAGTGGGTGATGAAGTAGTATGGAGCAAATAATTGAAGGAATGAAGTCATACACATAGGGACACAGATCAATTTTGTATCACGATGAAGCGGTATGCAAAGCATAGTATAATTTCCTTGTGTAATCGAAAAGAATTGAACGACTTCCGATTGCTTACAATCCATTCAAAGGCATTCATGGTTTAAAAAATGGTCCATCATTTCCTGATTCCTTCCGCTTTTTGCGACTAAAAAGTTTGCGTCGATGGGTTTCAAACAGACTGAGGTCATTGGGTTCTTTCTGACTCACCCTCTATTTTGTGCCGACAACCAAGTGAAGGTTGTAAATCTACAGGGCTTCGGGATCCCAGATCAGCTTCATTGTCAGACTTTAACTCAATGCTTTTTAATAGTTCTGGATACGACCGAAATGAATTATTTCAATACCACTCCGACTCCCAAAATGACACAACGTTGATTTATCATTCCGTCAATCTCTCGCTGATAAAATGCATGCACATTCAAATATCCCTAAGTAGAAAATGACACGAGCAAAATAAGTTTGTACCCATACATGATTAGAAAACCCGTGATCAAACAAACGCTTCGTAACACACCGCAATCGGTTTGCGTTCTGCTCACATCATGCACGAATAAAACAAACCTCAACGAGGCCAGTAATCTCTTTTCTGCCCTTCCACTACCATAAGAGAAGTCGTGATCTCGCAACCCTACGACGATATGGTTCTGATATGGTAGCGGTTGGCGTTAATTAAGCATTGTCAATAGGATCGAGTTACTCGCTGTTAAACTAGATTGCAATTCAGAGCACTTTTAACTTAATTCGGTTGCACAATACTTTATTATCATTTTTATCTACTCACAATGTTGTAGATTTCCTGCGGTGGATTGAGAAAGCACACCACTTTCGGACGAGTGAAATTTGTAAAACCAAATGCAGCATTAATTGTCACCGGTTGCTTCGATCAAGACCCGGCAGCTCAGCGAAACTATCCCCATTTCTGTTTGTACTTGAGTACCAAAGTCACAGATGCAGAGTTCCACAGTGGCTCTTTACTATCGGGTTCGTTGCAACGAGGAAATCGTCGGAAGGGTCTGTGGGAGACCACACATTACGCGTTGGTACAACGTAAGGAGCAAATTGAATGAACCTCGGAGACAAGCAAGCAAAGTGATGTTACAAGTCAAGACATCGGCATTGTTTTCTTCAACTCCCATGTCATTTCGCACAAATAATTTTTATGTACCATGAACCGCAAACTTTCCATTTTTTGTACTGTCACTTCGCGAAACGTTTCAAGCAAACTTGTTCTTTCGTATTGTCATTCTTCACTTAAATTACACTTACACATACATTTCATTTTCTTTATCAACGTGTCCTTTAAGAAACCAGCTCATCATCAATCACACTTTCAAAAGTGGTCATGTTAAATGCTTGAGCTTGAGATCACAAACGTTTTTAGTAGAAGGAAGATCAATGCTAGAAAACTAAATAGAAGATTGTAGAAAGGACACAATACATTGCACTAATAGCGGTTTAGCCATAGGAATGTCCAGGATAGTTGAATGCTGTCACGTTTTGCAAACCTTATCTCGCAAAACCGATTAATCGCAAAACACAGTGAGGCACAATTCAAACGTATCGGTATATTAATGCCTTTCGGCAAAATACTGGAGACACTGAAGGAAGAGATGCGATATAGTATGGATCACACATTTAAGAAGTTTGACTTTTCTTTTTGCTTCATTTTACCGGGTGTTCCTGGGAGATTTAAACGTTAAGTTGCCAAAAGATTGGGGTTCTCATCCAGGGCCTTAAGCTCTAGCAAGAACCTAACCGCAAGATACCGAGTAAAGGGATTCAGAGACCTATCTGACTGAACTGATTACCGAGTTCGCTACCAACCCGAGTCGAACGCTGAACTCGGAGCACTAGGAGACAGGACCCGATATGACCTGTACCCTTCGATCTTCTGATAAACGTTATTCGGTGTGGCATTTTGTGACACAGAGGTGCGTGCCCAAATCATCATAACACGTCCTGCTGAAGTCTATTCGCGGTGCATGGGTTGCGAATTTACTACGTCTGTTTTCCAATACCAAGAAGAACTATCTGTGAGAAAAAATAACAAATGAAACACGCAGACAGTGATGGAGACTAAATAAATGTGGGAACAGAATGGCAAACTTTGCGCTATCCACCATTTCCAGCCGGGGTTGAAAACTTCAATGCCAAACAGTAACAGTATTATCTCCTAAATAATATATTAGCACTGGATTTCACAAAAAACCTGTCTGTCTACCAGTGATTTTTGATGTTAGACGGTATGATACTTTATCCCAAATACCACATAACTGACAGGTTAAAGCAATTTGTATGATACCATGAACAGCTGTATGAGACGTACAATCAACCTGAGGGCCGCATATCTTTATCTTTCCTTTTTTCTTTTTCATTTTACTTCTTTTTATTGCACATGCTATGGTACAATTTTCAGGAAGGGAGAAGCGACCAATCAAAGGCCGCCATTCAACAAAATGGAGAAAGTCAGGCGGCGGTGGTGGGATTCGAACACACATCGCTAGGGTGATAATTTGGTGACGCTAACACTGGGACATCACCGCCATGGCCTTCGGTCATGAAACTCTTCACATAATCGATAAACAACTGGTAAATGTACTGTCCTTTTATTCCAGCTCAGACTCCGGCTACACCAAATCATATTGTGAATGAGCTAGTTCCCATCTAGAACTTGCATGTCTTCTGCTCATATTGATTCATATTCCAAAACGACATCCGTGTGCATTGGATTATGTGCCTGCTGAAGCACTTGGCTTATGGATATCAATATACAAAAGAACGAATGCCGAAATAAACAAAGATGCGTTGTTTAACTGGACATCTCATCGTCCCCATGGCAATCTGTCCTCACGGCAGTTTTGCACTGAAGATGGTAGTGGAAGAACAAGACTATACATAAAAGATGATTCAAATAATTGTTCTTTTTGGTGAATTTGAATTTGAATTTTATTGACGGAGTCACGAGCATTTCGTTAGGTACAAGAATAGATTCGATGCCAACCTCCAAAAAACCAATAATTTTCAATACTTAAACTGAATCAATCGGACAATGGGTTTAAGGTTTCGGAACATATATCTAAGTCACTGTTACTTAATCATACGCATAAAGAGCCAGTAGAGTTATCGTCACATAAATGCACTGGAAGAGGCAAATGTTCTAACCTGAAGACAAATCATAAACTTTCAATAGTGCTAAGATCAGTTAAAATAATAAGAATAATATAATCCGCGTGTGGTCTGGCATGTCGTGCCGTGATACTCTGGATCTCTGCGTAGCCCCTACGGCTTTTTATCGCACTTCGATCAATTCCGACCGGCANTGACTCATAACGAGACGTGAACTTAATACAAGCCTGCGCACAGACCGCGAGATCTGGAGGACTCATCACGCGTCAGAGATGTAACGTGCTGTTCTCCATGGGAAATTCCTGTATTCCATTCCATCGCATTCGGGTCAGCGGTAAGAAAGCTTTGGGCGCGAGTGAAACTATCTGCAAAGCTGAAGGCTGGCCCATTCATAATCAACAATGACTTCTAGCACGCTGGACAGAGCACTCTGATGCATAGTTTAACAGGCCACCAGCGTCGCGTTCTCACACAGCTAATCCGGCACACGCCCCGTAGTCTGTCCCAAAAGGACCCACCTTTTGAGGCGGAAATCCGTAAAGAAATCCAATCCTTGGGACGTTACAAAGCGCTGGGGTTCCATAGCCCTCCCCCAGCTGTATTTAACGATGGTAGAATACAGCGTGTTAGAGCATTGGTGGCTCTGTTCCCTAAAGTCTGGTACACTTAGCAGATTCCATTATCGTCCTCATCTTTAAAAGGAGTCCACGCCAATCGCAGGGTTATAAGCCTGATCTCGATAGCGTCAAAGCCGCTGGCGTCCGTCATTCTCCGCCGATTGTACACTATGCGTGAGGAGAAGACCCACGAGGAGCAGGCTGGGTTTCGCGCCGGTTGTGAATGCATCGATCAAACCTTCACCCTTCGACAGCTGCTTGCGCACTGTCATGCCTATCAAAGACCAACGATCACTGTGCTTTTGGACATTCCCACGGCCTTCGACTCTCGCGATAGGACTGTACTATGAAACTGTTTTTTGAGGAATGTAGTACCTGAGAAATATGTGGCGACCCTCAAAGAGTTGGGTCGTCATACCTCAGGTCGGGTTAAGGCTTATGGCCAGTTTTAATCGCTCTTCACTGTCTGCAGTGGAGTTCGACAAGGCTGTCATAGATCACCAATCTTTTTCAGCTTTGCCATAAAGGATGTTCTGCATAACACGTTGTCCGGTCTAGCAAACGGTGAAGTCAAACTCTACCTAGAGAACAGAGTTGTTGACTTAGAATATGCCGATGACGTCCCTTTTTTGGGTGACAATACACAGTCAGTCCAACACTTGACGATAGAGGTATCTGGGTATCGTATGTGCTTTGCATCTTCTAAGTGCAGAGTACTTAATCATGATTGGTAGGAGCAAGTGCTTGAACTCTGTGGTGATGAACTAAAAGTATTTGGGAGCTTTAAGTACCTCGGGAGCTTGATCGCAGCTGGTGTTGTTGTTGGAGAGGGGATCACATCACGAATAGCGAAGGCTAGAGCAGATTTGTCAACTTGCGACTTGTGTAACCGCTACGACATCCTTTTGTCCATTGCCGCAGTTCGTACTGTTTTGCTTTATGGTCGCAAGACCTGGTCTCTCCGAGAGAAGGATGCTAGTCGACTGTCTGTATCCAACCACGGATGTCTTCAAAGCATTGCTCGTATCTGGTGGGAGCATTGCGTGAGGTTCGTCGTCGCAATTTGAGTGCGGATAGCCGCTCTCTAACAGACGTAATCGCTCTTCACCGCCTCCGATGGCTTGGTCATGTTTTGTGTATGCCTGCCCATCGTCTACCGTTCTGTGCTCTTTTTCTACATACTGTGCAAGGCTGAAAGAAACGTCGCGGTGGTCAAACTATGACAAGGACTGCTGGTATGAAACTAGTGCTCCATAAAAAGCACGATAAACCAACGCACAAAAGATGTGCGGTGAACCACAAAAACATTTTTGCTTTCCCTATTATCTACTGTTTTCCATTGTAATAGTTTCACCATTTTTACACTTCGTTCTTTATCCCAATCCACCCATCCCCTGTTTCTGGTATCATTGTTGTGTCGTCGGCACCATGTTTTTCCGCAAACCGACGATATACGTATATTCTGTTTTCTTATACGTGCATCAAGTCTTCAATTATGTTTCGCCTTTAGGAGCAAGTTCTAAATCATTGGAGGACTGTAATCGGATGCGATAATTGGCACATGATGTTGGTCATGGGACTCAAACATACGACCAAAGGACAAACACATTGCGGATTTCAATGGTATTATTAGAGCTCTGCGGAGTTTGGTTCGAGGTCCGGGAAATAAATTTACAGCTGAATACTGTGAAATTTTCAAATGCAAACAAATCACCGTACAGAAAAACCCACTTTTGCGTTCACAACTAAGATCAGCATGATTTTGTGATCCCAGTCACACCGATGAATTGGATCCAATTTTAACAACTCATTAGTGATCATGGGACAGGTTCATAAATAAGATCAAATCGGGGTGTTCATGATTTGGGGAGTGGTCGATTCTGTCAATGTGGTTCTTCAGATTTGACTCAAACACACACACACAAACAGACGGACAAACAGACGAACAGAGAGACAGACAGACACATGTGCCACGAGAAAATGTACCAGTTGCGATTGATGTTTGTGTAAAAATTATTTTTTGTGTAAATGCTAACTGAGTCAGTGACCAAGTGAACACCTAAAATTGGACTAACATACGCATTTTATCTGTTATACTTCTATTGCAAGGTCGAGGGATCAGGCGAGCATAAAATGGCAAGTTATGCGCGCACCGGTACGTGTCTGCGCGCGCGATTGTGGTCTGTGTGCACGTGTGTTTGTATGTATGAAACCTGATAATTGCTTTGACTGAAAGTTGAGTAGCGCGAAGGCTTCTTGCCGGTTCGATTACATAACACCAATCGTTTCGGAAACAGTTGTGCTATGCGGGCGCCAGCGTTCCCGTATACGCCGCAAATTATCCGGTCTCTCGAATTCGGGAAATCCAAGATTGTCCAACAGGGCCATATAATCGCATCGAGTGGTGAACTAAAACAGATTTTATGAATAAGATAGTACTGCAATATACAAATGTAGTATAGATACAAGGCATTCCACTTTTTTATTGAAAATCCCTCAGTTTTATGTCGAATACTTTTTCTGAATTAATAATAGTTGTTATCAAACAAACAGATCAGAGATGAATTACGTCAGGCTATTGTTTCGAATATACCACTGTCATATGTTGTGCGCTAAATCAGTCCACTGATGTTTTGAAGCTTGTGTTCTGTGGATCAGTCATTGACACACTTGTTCACATTATAATAACGGATTGAAAAGTCAAAGTTTTATTCCATGATCGCAGTTGCGCTGGCCCGTATAATAAAAGTAGAGATGGAATGTCTAAGTCAAATTTTATGGTTATTATAAAAAGAGTACAAAATGAATTAAAGAAGTACCACCCATGAGTGGAAAACTATTGTCCCCTAGGAATGTTCCTCCAGTTTATGATCTTCTCTTAATAAAGCCTTATCCGGATTTGCAATCAGTTACTTCCCTTTATCTGGACAAACCTATCACGAAATACTGTGCTGCGAGGAGAATCCATTCCGAGGTAAGCTAAGGTTTTACAAAAACCACAAGGAAGCTGCAAACTCGTAAATGTGTTGCAGCACTTTTGGTGATCTCTGGAAAACTCCTGAATGGTTTCACTCAGAGGAAAGAAAATCATGACGTACGAAGCTCAATGAATCTTCTCAACGCACTCTCAACTCAATCCTGTTCACTCCAAGAATGCTACCATACACGCATAGTCACCATTCGAAATCAGAAGTACTCACAGCCTATCAGTGTCAAAATTGACTTGATTAATTCCTGTGAGCTATCATGTGATGTTACTTTAATTGTGGCATCTCTACTTGTTACCTTTTTCCTTACACTCCAGTCCTATGGGAAATGCAGAATCAATCGTTGATGTCCTCAATTCTGTTGATCTACTTGAATCAGCTGCACTCACTTGACGAAACAAAGTAGAAAGATCCCTGAATAACATCGTTTTTCAACTGATGACTGAAACTACGGAGATGCATATTCTGTGCTGTAGCGTTGCAATACTGTACTAGTAACTGAACCCCGAGGGGTTCTTTCCTTGCTCTCTGACACATGTTCGATCGTCTCTAAGGATCAGTCGGGTTTCTCAAGTGAAAGTCTGCGAAGCCTAGGCAGGTAGTTGAGGAGAGAACCGATGCCTTGCTGACCGCCTCAAGTCTTGGAATATCCAATGGATGTGGAGTGTGCACAGTAGATGTGCTGTCATCATACAACAACAGAAAACAAGATTATCATGAAAACAGTCTCTTGTCAGTTTGAGGAATTACAAGCTGCACAAAATGCGGAAAGCAGTCTAATTGAGTCCTAAAACGGTCAAAGGGAAATTAGATTTCGAAAAAGTCGAACCAACCACCGTTTTCATCGGTGATCCCTGTTTTTCGAAATTCAGTGAAGATTATTCCGAATGCATGTTATAACTACTCAAACAATCAACAGTAGTGCACGTAATAATTGTGTTAATGAGACCCAAACAGATCGAAACAGCTGTCCAGTTCTTGCGAGCTTTTCAGCTCACGCCTCATTTACACGCCGAAATCATCATGCAGTCAAATCGAATCCCCCATTACTCTCATATAATTGTGTTGGTTTTTAGAGGAAATCATGAGCATCGACAAAATAATGTTGGGTGATCAGCACGATTATCTCACCTGTTCCAGCCAAGTTTCAAATAGACTCTTCCATCGCGTTGATTCACATTCATGCAGATAGACATTGAATAATATTAGATAAAAGTAAGCCTCAAGAAATGCCAAACTCTGTCGTTTTAATTCGTCCTTTTTTATGGGATCCTTCTCCTCTTGAAACTGGAAAATTAAAGGTAGGGAAAATTGAGCTGTTTCAGGTTTCAGTCAGTTTAAATGAGGCTCATTTAGATGCCCACTCTTACGATATAAAAATCGATATCTTTCTGACTTTCACAATTATGTGGCTTTATTTGAAAAGTGTATTCTGTGATACTGCATGTCCTGATAAAAGTCAGAGAAATTCCTGTGAATAAAAATGTATTAGTCCGTTACAATTTTGCACTCACGCATGTACCCATAAATAGCCAACTTTGCCAGAAATAGATCGTAAAGCACACTTTCGTGCTGCTAAGACAAAACCATATTAAATTATTATGCTATGAAATTTAGTCAGAAATCATTTTTCGTCTTGAAGCCCATGGTCTATGTTATAGCTGTACTCTCCTGGTTGGGAAGAACACAAGTCACTGAACTGGAACGGGCTGACTGTCGAAACTATTTACAAGGACAATGGGTGAAATACCGATCAGTAAACATTAGGTCCGTCTATACTGGTAACGTTGATAGTTAGGCCGACCAGTCATGCGATATTCGATGCGGATGAGCTACGGTAAAATTTGAGCTTTCGTAAAAGTCTACCTGGGAGAAGCAAAAGGGCCGGTGGAAATGCAAAAGCATCATTCGATAATAATAAATAAATCGAAACAAACAATTCCTTCACCTCCGCACATTATGAAAATATAGCTGGGGAACTGATCCTCCGATTACTTTAAGCGAGTTCTACCTGCTCCGTGGTGATTCAGTGAAGTATTTTGACATTGTTTTTGGTTCAGTCCCTGAGTACTGGGGTATTTGAATGAGAGTCAGTCGGGCGTGAAAAAGTGAAGCAGGTATTGTTTTATGTGAAGCACTCGTAACACAAAACTAAATCGAGAGAAAAAAACAAGTAAACGATAAGTGACCAAATATTGGACATAGCATCGGCAAACAAACACTGGGTTTCGATGGTAAACTTGTACAAGATTAAATTCGCTACTTTCCCATTGTAAGCTTTGAGTGTGTTTCCCTGCCACAGGTGATAACCGACTGAACGGAAAGGAACGTAATTCATCCTAATACCAACCACGAACAACATGCTCCAGAGAGAGAGAGCGCGCTTCACTCACTTTGACATAAGTGAAATAAATCTGTTCGCGCACATGGAAGTGCATCATGGACATGGAATCAAAACAACGATCTAGCACGTAATCGACCTCGCGTTTCACTTGATGTCCATGCGGTATCATTCGGATGAGACGTTGAATGATCTGAAATATATGAACACGTGGAATAACCATGCACAAACCGTTATTTTCCCGGCAGAAAAGACAATAGCCAAATAAGATTCATGAAGCTCATCCGATTGGTGGCACTGTGCGGACCGGAAAAGCAATCAGCTTGATGTTTTGCTCGAGGAATTTGAGTACAACCTTGCTCAAAACTCATTTTATTTCCACATAGTTGACGAGCACATGGAGACATATGTGCGCAGAATTGATATTGGTCATCAATTTCGCGTGCTCTTATTTAGCTGTAAACGCATATTTATATGATCATGTTAAAACCAGAAACACTGGAGTTACAACTACCATCTAATGCAATTACCCCGCATTTGTTAGACCCCAGTCACCAAAAAGACGCACCCAAAGCGCTACGAGTCCTTACGGGACCGCATAGTTCACGAACTTCGCGATTTTGGGAAGCGATAATTTTTCGTCGCTTTAAATCGCAAATGTGTTCAAAAAATACGTCTGTGACCCAACTGTTATTGCTGTGGTAATTACGATATCACGCCTGATAAAAATCTACCATAAGGTGTGACATGACCCTCCCTCCCTCTTGCTGCACCACGTTCACCATATCGTTTGAACCAGTTCACCTACATGCTGTAGACCAAAGCAAAGCGGTAGATGTTATTTACCTGGACTTCTCTAAAGCATTTGATAGAGTAAATCATTAAATACTGATACGGAAGCTGTATCATTACGATATCCTTTGGACTCGTACTTGGCTGAATCGAGGAGTTTCTTCGCCAACGTAACTTGTCCGTTCGAGTTTACAATTCACTTTCTGATCCAATAGATGTCAATCGTGGGGTTCCACAGGGATCTGAGCTAGGACCACGTCTTTTCCTTGCCTATATAAATGATATTCCAGACGTCCTCGAACCACAAATTCTACTGTTTGCGGACGATGCCAAAATATGGAGGACAATAACAAAACCAGAAGATTCATTTGATCTCCAGAGCGCCCCGGACGAAGCCCACAGATGGTCTGTCTCCAATGGTATGGAATTGCACGTTACCAAATGTAAAGTTTTATCACTATGTCACCCTGGTCGTTATTCTTACACTCTCGGACGTGAAACTCGGCCTCATGCTCCATCCGAAAAGGACCTGAGAGTAGTCATTCGCGCAGTCTTGAGTTGCTCCACAAACTGTTCCACGGCATCATCCATGGCGGTAAAACAGGTTCAACTGCTCAAGCGTGTTTTTGGATCGTTTGAGCCGGCTTTGTTTCCACGTCTTTTAGCCACATAAATCCGTCCATACACCAAGTACTCAATTCAGGCCTGGAACCCATGGCTGCAGCGAGATTGGAAGACACTTGAACAGCAGCAGAGAATGGCTACCAAGATGGTCAAAGGTCTACAGCCCAAGCACTATGGCGAAAGATTACAGCCACTGGGGCTATACTCGTCTGAACATCGTCAAATCAGAGGAGACATGATTTTACTGTATCGTATTTTCCAACATCCCAACCATCCATGTAGACATTTATTGTTTCTATCAGCCAATGTTCATCTCAGAGGGCATCCACTGACGTTGGCACTCCAAACAGTCTCGACTACAGACTTCATTCGCTTGCAGTCAGAGTTTGCAACACGTGGAACTCTCTACCGCCTTACGTGGTCTGTGAGCCAACAATAGTATCTTTCAAGCGACAGCTTGATGATGCTCTGGCAAACATTATATTTCAACACCCAACTGCGTAATATATTCTCCTGTGCTCGTCAAAAACATTACATTACTATTTTACTTTCACGGACTAAGTGTGATCTTGTGAATCGTGTTCCGAACCAAAGTGTAAACACCCTATTGGATTTGATAAGCGACGTTATTGTAATTTTTCCCCATAATAAAACGTTGAATTTGAATTTGATGTCAAACTTTGTCATCTAACTCGACACCAATCACTAACCAAATGCAAATCACGTAACTTCAAGGTCCACTACCCTGATCAAATGACTCTTTTCACATCCTATGTTTCTTCTTGTGACACGATCGTAGAAATGTGCGTTTACAGCTGAATGAGAGTAGGCAAAATTATTTGTCAATATCAACCTCGTTTGGTGATGAAACAGGTAAAGGAAAACCGATGTTTTACACTGCTGAGTAGAATATGATACACGTTAATCATTCGGGGACTGTGCACAGTTTCAACATTTTGGACCACCAGCATAGTAGTAAAGTGGATGGATGTAATACATGGTGGTGGCCTCAAAAAACCAATACTCAAATGATAAGCCAGCTAACTTCAGCACATTTGGAAAAAATGCTTGACACGTTTTGAGGGAAATTTGACTCTTTTGACTTTCAGACTGATTTTGTTTGAAAGATATTTTTCCAATTTCACAGGCCATACTTATGGTGGTGTTACTGAGTGGTTGTGCGTCTCACCCCTGCATAGAGATCGTTCGTTACGCCCCACTCCCCCTACCCGTGAAATGCACTTTTGTGCAACCGCAAGACAAGACCATAAGCAGTGTGTGTCGCAGACCTGTGTTACACAACTGCACTTATCCAAACAAAAGTAGTGGAAAATTATTGTAATCGTTGCTTCAGGGTAGCGACTGTCGATCATGTAAGTCAATGGTAAAACTTTTCTATTCTTAATCCGAAGTTCTCCAGTCCGAATCTCTATGGGAAACAAGCGTATGACACATTCTTGATGAGCTTCAACAGGGGGGGGGGGAATAGCTGTCCACCGTTGGTTCTTTATCATCATATAACAATTCGACTTCTTTTATTGATTTTAAGATTATGCATTATCATTAAGTGGATGCGAGAAACTCGTACTCAACAATATTGTCATGATATTCCTGTTGATGTAGATCGTAGGACACCTCCTTTATTCCGGAGTAGCAACGCTCTTTTGAGAGCAACAATTTAAACCAACTGCTAAGCCGTTCAAAGATCTTTTTGGCTATCTAATGCGTACGGTATATTCAATCTCGCTCACCTTGAGTTTGAGCTATGAATTAACCGTTTGGTATGCAGTAGTATTATAATTATGCACGTTGTGTTCGGAATACATGGACCCTTCACTATCCCAGGCTGTCACGATTGAATGGGAGTGTTATTCCCCAATCCGGATTGAAATGCGGACGACTAGTTAATTNTTCACATAAGTTTCAAATGTAACACAATGAATCCATTGCGCTTGACTTTGGCATCAAAAGCACGCAAAATCATCTGCATATCGCGAGTCTACTTGGATCGGGTAGTAACTAAACTGCTTCTTCCAACTCTCACCAATATCCCGCAGACTTTTGTTATTCCGTACAAATTTTACCAAAGCCAGATTGATATGTATGATTAATGCAATTAAAGAAGATATTGAGCTTGCTTGAATCTCGATTAGCTACTATCTAGACGGTTATTTTGAACTATATTTGAAGAGAAGCCATTGCTTATTGATCCGTCACGAACGAAAGCCACGTCGGACACAACAACAGACAAATAATAATAATCAACCTAAAGCTGCCAAGCTGTGATCATTTTACGTGCAGCTCTTTCCTGGGGCACCAGTGCAGAATAGTGAATCAACGCTCTCAAAAAGTGGGCGATTCAACAGGTACCTAATAAGGTCCACTAGTGGATGAGGCATAAAATAGAAAAAGAAGTAGACGCAATACATATGTTGGTATTACCGTCCTCAATTACTCGGGACTTGCCCTTCCCGTGTTGTACGGACAATTCTTCGTTTGACAAATTTGGGTTCTCATCATCTATAGCAGGATGCGGCTTACATAATGATTAGACACTTGCAGACCATACACAGAAAAACAACCACTATGAATCCAAAAGGATATGACTGCTGTACTTCGACCTTCTTTGCTTTTCATTTGGAATGGATAAGCTATTTAAAGAGAGTGGTAAACGCTTGTTATTTATTTATCATTTCAAGTGTCTGGCCAAAGCAAATGAGCATCTTTTCTCGTTATTTAGAAATTTTACCTTTATATTATTCAAATTGGGATCGAAAATAATATGAGAAATGGAAGAAACCACCTAAATCGAACCTTTTGACATCCTTGTTCGGTGCAAATCATTTTACCCGAAAGCTATGCCCTTTATTAGAAGTGAGTATGGCGTCATACCGTGCGGACATATATGGCTATTCTAAAAGCTAAGGGGTATCTCTCATGAAGCCATCCAACCATCACCCAGAGAAATTTGGGATTATTTTATTCTGTAAACATAAGATGTCAAATTAACGGTGAGGTGCTATCTGGGCCCAAACAAATGTATCGCATTCGAAAAGCACTAGACGTTTCATCTACTCACATGAAGCACACGCATGACGAGGAGCTTACCTCAAAATCCCCTTTGGTATATTTAGCTCCACGTAGTGAAATTCGTTCCTCTTCGTTCACACGGTAGCCAAAAGCGAAGCCCACAATATGACAGTAAACAAGACCAGCAATGGACATTCCCAAACTAGTTCGCTCTTTTCCAGACTCACAGAAGAACACAATGTTCGTAGACCCGATCCGGTCAACCGTGGTCTCGTTTGAGTTTGGCAAATGCCACTCTTTTGCGCCGTCCGTCGAGCCCCCGGGTGAACGGTGACATGAGTGACGGCGAACCACACCGACCGAGGCGTCCACTAGGGATTGTACAGTGATTGCACTTGTCATTAAACCTCGCGCATTGTTAACCACAAGACGCAGAATCTGATCAAAAACCTGAATAAAACGACAGCCCCGTTGATTTCGTACAAGAATCACAGGAAGTAATAAAAGGAGAAGCATTTCTACACGCATCAATCAACAAAATAATTGAGTTCCTTGAATACAGTGAATGTTGTGCAGTGGGCCTGAATACTACAATGGGAAACAGAAAATAATATATGTATGTACATATATGTAAGTATTAAACAATACGAAGGAATAGAATAAACAGTAACGGATCAGAGAAAGAAATGGGTCATATTGATTCATGAATACGCTCATGGCTCACAATAGTAACCTGCCCCCATGGCTCTACAACACCTCAGTTGGAGACATTTCATTTTAGTCAAACCCAAATGCATTTTGAAGAGGAAACTATCAACCGTCGCATGAGCGAAACCGTAAGAGTTGTTGTGGGGGTCAGGCAGATTTGAACGTTGTAGTTTCGACAGTCCACATGTCTGACTGTCCCATAAAGTCACGTGATACTGATGAAGTGAGAGTTGTCTGGTTCTATTCATCATTTAGGATCGGTAAAACATCACGCCACCAAGTTGTTATCCGCACTGTCTTGGCAATTCGATGATCATGCATTCCGGTCGGTGGCACTGTCCTTTTTTCTGGTAAATGAATTGGGACTGAGATTGTGTTTGATGTAGGTAACGAGGTGTGTGCTTGTATGTCCGAAGGGGCGCTCAATGAAAGTGAATCCTTTGAATCTATAAATCAGCATTCTTTTATTGAAGCATGATCGTCAATGGCGTTTTGGGGAACAAATCGGGGTAACTAGTAACAAAACCAGCAGCATAATGTAGGTTCAGAACAAGTCTAACAGCTCATCTGAAAGATAACTACGAACAAACTGATATTTAAAAGCCAAACAATATAATGAACAAGCTTGTTTTTGTAACTTTGTCTTCAGGCCTTTACAGGATCAGAGGACATAAACCGGCTTGGCTGAGAACGAATTGCAAGATAACAATAACCAGTGCGATTAAAGCCCACCTCGCGGATATGGGGCATCAACCAGACAACGATGCACTCAAAGTCATCTACAAAGTACCCCAAAACAAATCGAAGCCAGTTCGGAAACGTCACTGGGCAACAGCGGAGGCTGTGGCAATCAAGATCATGAACCCACCACTGTGGAAACAGAAGATGATTGCCGCACTTCAGCTGCCTTGACCCAAACCAAACTTACTTGATGACCCAAACCATGACCTTAGTCATGTCGAGATGACGCAACATGGCATTACAAATGGACCTTGAAAAAAGGTCNCTGACCTTTGTCCCCCCCCTCCCCTTCGCCCACAGTCCCCATTTCGTCCACTTGTTCTGATTAAACGTGATAAACATTGTTGCATTTCCCACACTTAACCTCTATGGGCCAATCACATTTATTTCTACATTAGATTTAAACACGCACACATAATTGTAAAGGCCTGAAGACGAAGTTACGAAATCAAGCTTGTTCGCTATATTGTTTGGCTTTTGATGTTTCTATGGGAATCCTCCGTAAACTGATATCTCTGAACTGCGTCGTCGAGGGTCAAATTTACCTAAAACTCCTGATTTTGCATCTTGAAAATGTCGCGTACAACTACTCTCACTCACCCACTCAGTGGTCTGTCGCACGCGATTTTCATGTGCATCGATCACCCAAACTCAACCCCATCGAATAATTATGAAATTAGCTTGGGAGCAAAACACATAAGAGGCGGCAATACCGATCTCTAAGGGTTTTAAAGACTACTTTGAAAGCTGAATGAAACCGTATGACGCAGGATAACTTTAACCGACTGTTAGCGACAATTTCTCGACAGGTAACTGTTAGAAAGTGACTTTCCCGGACTGACACGGATTACTCGGAAATAAAAGTTCTGGGCTTGAAATACCTATTGATTTGCACAATTATTGTACCCGATGAATATGAAGAGCTGATAATTACATCACATAATGGTGGTTAAATGAGCTGTTTCTCGAAAATGAAATCAAGACTATTGCGACTTTAAATGAAACACTTGCGTACTTATGGGTGATTCCATTGAGTTCAAAGCACGTGATTTCTCCTTATGTCAAAGACATGTTCATTGAAAACTTGCTACCTACATATGTGAGAGTCCATGCAAACGCATATGTCCATATTAGCGTCTGATCACGGTGACTGATCAATGAATTAGTATTGCCGCGATCAGCTGGTGGCGGACAGTTACCATCAGGTTCTTTCACTATTATCGCCATACCTATCAACGACCTAACGTTCCTGGAGGACGAACAACCACACTCACCTCCTCTGACTCATTCACAGTGTATTTTTACTTGTGAAAACCAACGCCATAATCAATTCGTGAGATCAATGGTGGAAAACTATTGCTGGATTTACTTGAAGCTGGTATGAGATAAAGTGTACCTAGCGAATGCAGTCTGTCGCAGCTCACCCACCTATCATTCCTTCTGGAAATCATTTACAAACACCACTGCACGCACCACCACCACCATAACATTCACTTCGCTACTTTTCCCTCTACGTTTTGGCTTTCACTGATCTCATAAATCCTTATCTTTAACTACCCGTGATACTTGCAAACGCAGGCACACCTGCACTGAACGATGACAGCACTTTCGGTTGACTAGCGATCGCCCTAACGTATGTCTGATTGGTTCCGCCTGGGTTGTTTTCCACTGTTGACTAGCTGGGGTGTGCTCTTGCCCGTCGTTTTGGGAATGCGTTCTTGCGACTCTGCATCAGACACTTCACTTTCCCAGCTGCTCATAGCCGACTGTACTTATCCATCCTGCGCTTCAAATCAGCAGTCCGTGAAGAAGAATGGCTTCATCTTCTACTCTTTCCCTTCTTGACTGTGTTCAACGGAAGACCATCCAGTTGATCGGTGATTCTTCTTCAACCCCTAATCCGTAGTCACTAGCTCATCATCATACAGTTGTTTCACTGCCCTTTCTCTACCTTTACTGTTGCTTTTTGTTATTCAAAGCTTATCTCGACGTTGTCTCTCCCCGTAGCGTTTGTTTCACCATCCAGTACACAGGCAGCTAGGTACCCTTATCACATTTCTGACACTCGATGATGTACTTCCTTGCCCCAATCTTTCTTCTTCCACTAAATTGTTAAACTCGCCCACCCTTGGAATCTTTACCTCCTTAATCCCTAGATCAATAAACTGGCTCTTACGGAACTGTTCATTCAGACTCCATCTTACACTGCGACTCACATTATATGTAATGAAAATAAAGTTGCTTAGACTAACAGTATGTAAAAATGATGATACATAGGACTGAAGTACCTCAATTTTAATAAATCAATATGGTTAACATGGCAATAGATAGTTGTATTTTTCATCAACAAATACTCAACACGAGCAGTCACCACGGTCGAAGTTAACGCGATTGGGCGTGGCTGACAAAAAGTGCAACAGACAGACAACCGATTTTCACTGCGCGATAAGTGAAAATGTGTGCATGCATAGGGACGATTCGTCTGATTATTCCAAGTTTTTTCCTGCTCGACATATATTTCGCTGTGCTGCCTAACTTGGTGGAGGTCCGTCTGTCTGTCTGTTGTCGTAACCATACATACTCCATGGGATGCACGTAGCATTCCTCACTGAAATTAACATCTGTAAATTTACATCAACTAATAATGCCGAAATGACTGCTGAATATAATAATGATCAGTGACCTGTTGTACTGTTGATTCGATCAAGAAAAATAAACAGCTAATATAATCTAACTGGCAAATGATCGAAAACAGCACTAGACAGCGACATAGCCCCTCTGTGTAAGCTGTCAGTACGTAAGTACACTGTTTAATACCCCCACCAAGACACCAGCCACGTAGAGAAACCTTTATTCCTCATGTATATGGTTGGTGGTTAATAGCTTGAGCGCAGGACAACCTTAATAAATCCAGCTTGCGATCGGTTTAGCCCATTCATTGACACCAGGTCCTTTGTATTGATCTTACTGTATGCGCGTGAGTTCAATGTGTCGTGAATTTGTTAACTGTCTCTCCGGTTTGAGCCTTTTATCTTAATGCTGTAAATGTGTATTATAGACACACCTAAACCTGAGACAAATTGTAGTCGTGACTACAGCAACCTTTACAATTGAATAAAATGTGCCCGGTCGAATTAAATTGTTAACCCGTGTTTGGGCCCAAACACAATGAGAATATTTTACGGAGGGACGACTTTTTTCAAATGTACTTCGTGTAGCATGGAAAGATTTGTTTTATATTATGACAAAATTCTCCGGATCCGATAAATTTCATCGCGATTAATATTCTATACTCAGTGGTAATATACCGGGTGATGCACCAAGCCGGAGACACACAGAAGAATAGAAATACCAGCTGCATGTAGTTTGTCAAACACGAATTGCGAGATTGTGACTGTGGTGAGCTTCCATTATAACACGTTGGTTTCTCTATGCCAAGTAAACTTCATTTTCCTCTGTTAGGCCATCCATGAAGACAGAAAATGGATTAACCAGACCAGATTATATACTGAACAAACAATCACTACGCGAACGAGGCACGACTAAACCACTCTGAAAATTACACAAGTTTCGACCAGTCCCATTCCTTCATTCCTATACCATAAAAATATGCATGAGTGAAAGGGAAGACAGCCCACATTGTATGGATGAATAACCAACTATACGAGAGCTGCCACGATAATCTGCGAAAGCAGAGCTGGGGATTGAATTTTCAACTATTTTCATATTACTTCTTAACCCCGTGGTCTCTGACTTGTTTCTAAACACATTTATTCTACTCTGAACCTATCCGGTTTGAAAACTGCTTTGTGAACTTGAAGCGGTCGATTTTGTGTTTAGTGTATTGCGACGGCTGAATTCTTTGAATGTGTTGCCCAAAAGCCCGGGCCTGAATCGTTCAGCAGAAACTAACTGCGCGTTGGAGTCGTCCATCAGGTCCATCTTGTGATGACTAACAACTGGCTTGTTTTTCACGAGCAGTGAAATATCAAAACAAAGAGGTCGGCTTTCCGCACAGATCACTCTGGTAGAGTGTGTGAATGGGCCTGTGAGCTGATATCAAAGTTTGCCATTTGAGACAGTTTCATCGAATAAAAGTGCCTATGACCCACCGGTGAAATTTCCACTCAGTGGTCTCTCCAGCTTAGTGAATCGCCTGGTACACTGTCGGTCGGACAAACCGAGATCCCCGGTCCAACAGGACAGCTCACGCACGAGGCTTAGGGTTGTGCTTGCAATTTCTAACAAACAAGCGGACAACCTCATTTTCGCTAGCTGTTCTCTGGTGGCTATCATCTATAGTTTGGTGCATGTCTCCATTTCGCCAGAGGCGTTGAGCCGTCCGTGGCAAGCTGAAGGATACAGCCGTTTGAGTCTTCTGAAGCATCCTACTATGCCTGAATGAGAAATGTGTATCTAATGAGCACAAATTTATTTTGATGCAGCATCTAGGGATCAATCACCGTCTGATAAAGTATGATGTTTCCAACGACAGTGAAGAATGATCATTTTGCTATAGTGTAACACGTAGAAATCTGCTGAGATCCAGCCCGGATGGCCTAGACAGTCAGTCCGTCCGACTAACGAACCCTCGCACCGGAGTCTGAATTCGATTGGAAGCGGATAATACGTACTCGCTAACGTTTCTTAACGAAAGATTTAACAGCTGTTCGAAGCCTCCGAGGCTTGACTCGAGTTGAGTAAAACACTTCGATAGAGAAACCAAATAGTTCTAACCAACCCATCAAAAACGTGAACTGCTATTTATACCTGACACTGAAAATGAAATTGTACATGTTATCTTATAAATTAGCATCCTTAAATCGGTTTTCCATACATTGTACTGTAGTTTCGTGATCAGCATTCCTAAACTCGCGTATCCCGAAAGCAAACTTGGTCCAAGTCATTCCCTTTTGTCTGCTGCCCAAACGTTTGGATATTGAGCCTTGATTTTAACCGTCATGCAAGTGGGAACACAAAAAAAGGTGATGATTAAACAAACTCACAGCAGCTGGTGGTGGACCGTAGGGAGGAATAGGGATCCGATGGTATTCTGCATGCTTCTTCACATAGTCCACATAGGAATCCGGGATGTTGGCGGACTGACTTTCGAGCAATGGACCACCAATAGCCGATGATGTGTTCTCAAACGCCCGCTTGAACATCTGCTTTGAGCTGGTGAATTCTCCGTCCAAAGCTTTGTCTGTCTGAGTCAACTGATTTGTGTCAATGTCCACTTTATAAGTTGTGTACGAAGTTCCCATACTGTTCAGAGATTGGACGAATTTGTCTTCTAACTCCTAATAAACAGAATAAGTAAATAAAGCTCTGTGTGACGGCCAGTTAATTTTCAGAATATATTGAAATGATTTATTAAATTTTTCATAGACTTAGAATCTGATCAATTCCAAAACATGTATCATACTTTAATTGTGGACGTGTGAACGTTGAAGTGAGAAGCTGGAGAATGATGGATCCTTTGCCGGAACTGTAGGCACTACTCGATTTTTGTCTATTCTTGTTCCAGCAAGGACTGGTACAAAGGTTTGAACTTTGACTGGGCACAGAGTATAAAAAGACAGCAAGTAGTGTTTCTAACACTTAATTACATCCGAAAATATACGGTCGCCGAACGCGTTATTGAATCCTATCAAAAATATTCGTCAGGATTTTTCATACACGTTCAAGAGGAGCTTTCATAATTGGTTACAGTTTGTTCAAAACGATTATGCATTTGATGGTCGATCCTCATTCACGATGATAGGAAAGAAGACCGATCCGGACAAGTTAAGTCTGTTGCCACACATTACATATTATGCTACCAGGATATAACCTAGAGGTAACCTACACTAAGCAGTTGCCTTGACACAAGCGGAGATGATTAAGACTAAGCTATAGTTTTCGTCAGGAAATCTGTTCCATGCTTACATCTACATCCCGCATCAACCATCCCTGTAGACCAAGAGCATAGATTAGAGCGACATCATTTCCGGGAATATTTTTGCATCGTATCAAGTTAGGTTAATACGATGAATATGCAGCATGATACACTGTGGAAACGCGTGACAACTCAATTCACCGTTGGATGAAATTTTGTTTTTGACAGACAACAAGAAGCACTGAGCGGCCCTTGTTGACCATTTCTGCTGTACCGTGCTTGTGGCCCTGCCGGCATTTGAACCACGAACCTCACCAGTGCGCAGGGTCGGAGATTTGTGAATATGCATGGACAACACAAGCAATTATTAATTTACCGTGGGTTTTTGTGATACATAGTATTCTTCCATCCTACCGTTTTAGAACGCACGAATCCAGGTGTTTGTGATGCATTCAAATATATGTATATACTATAGTATGTAAGCAACCCTTGGATAGGGATTTGGAATTCCTGATTTCTTGACCGCACAAAACGTGCTCATATAACTAGCAGATCAGTAACGGTTGTATTTTGTGGTAAAGATTCTTCATCGAAAAAATGGTGTTTCCAGTTCAACCGGTCCCTGGCCCTGCCGTTTTCATCGCTAATAATCGTGATGTATTGGTGTGAATTAATCTTTAGTCTGCCTATGTTCAAGCAATACCAGATGACTACTTCAGATGAAGCTTTATCAAAGCACGTACCCGAATAACAGTGGCATGGAAAGCTTTTCTATTTTCTCAACCAGCTGATGGAGAAAGTAACTGTTAGATTTGAACTTGCAGCTGTTTTGAGGCGTGAAACACTGTGGTTTTCTTCTGTGATTTTATGATCTAAAGGAAGTGTTTTCTTTATTGTATTTTGACCTCTTGATATGAAGTGCATTTTATTTTTTCTATAGTTCTAAACATAGAATAAAACATCAGATAAATGAACTTTAAGCCATTGAAAGTCATTGCACATCCCGAAACAACCAATTTCTATTGTGTCCTCATTCAATCCACAGTTTTCCTGACAATTTATACGAAAAACTGCCCCTGATTGATTGATAGTTCCTTTCCCATGCCTACCTCCAATTCCATTCCACTGATTCCGGTCATTAAGACGGGTGTGGTATAGTCGTCTTTTGAACGCCACGTGCCAGTTTCTCCCGCACGGTCATACACATATTCGTCTCTCAGGCTGACCCAAATCACTGTCGGCATCGATACGGGTGTCCNCGATTCCTCGTTTGCCGCATTCGCCAGCTTCTCATCCACACGCATATTCTCAAGCGCCACGCCCCAATACGCTTTGGTCATCATGGCCTGTACTCGACTGACAGATGTGCCGGACGGTTGAGATGCACCGTATATCGGCCAACCGACCAGTTGTCGAAAGTTCGCCAGTCCCGTCTCACGATAGGTACATAGATCGTCAATATTAGGGGAACTGTCTAATAGCTGACGTTGAAAAAAGAATCATTTACAGTTGGGTTGTTGTGATTGAGGCAAATAGAGTAAAACTAAAAATAAATTTTTGGCTGAGCATTCATAAAGTAACATTGGAATGGTAGTGGAATGAACGAATCAACCACCATGTGCCGCAAACTATGCTGTCTATCACGAAGGGAAACTGATTGCATATTCTGCACCACTTTCCATTGCACTTGCACAACAAGTAAAGCCTGGACGCAATGAAAAACGTATCTCGTTGGGTACTAACGAAATGAAAATATTCGACCGATACGGTCCAAAAAAGTAGACTGTTATTGACAGAGGTTATGGGATGTGTCTATTCAAGGATTCGACTCATTCCAATTCCAATTCTATTTTACTTTGGGAATTTCTTTTCTTTCTGTTTTATTTTTTTTTTCGATTAACTTCGTTTTATTGATTATACAGAGATAATTTTCAGGAAAGGAGAAGTGGAAAATGGGGAGCAAGCACAAGAATTATCACAAGCGAAGTTGAATACAAATGTAGGGAGTCATCTTATCAGCTGTGCACCAACATTCATGGGGCGATTTGAGCGGAGCACTACAACACAACATTTTCAACTTCTGATGAATCTACGGTGAATCCCACAAAATGATTTCAATTTTTAACCCATCTCGTACAAAACATGAGCGGATGATAGATGTTTGGAAATATGAAAATGGAATCTGTATGTTCATGTATTCAGCTGATAATTCCCTAGTTACATGA